TCTACCACAAATATGTATATATATCTATATTTCTGCAAACCCAATTCCTGTTTGCTGGCAAGGTATGCTTCAGCAATACCTGTGCAGAGCCATATACTCAGCAGCTGCTTTTATAGAGCACTGAGATGTTACAGAAGATCCCTGAAAATCAGAAACATCAAGTTTAATGTGAACAGGGTTCCTCATGTTAGTAAGTAGTTGGGAATTAATTATCTTATTTAGATCAGCAAGGGTCCCAGCACTTTAAAACAAATTCTGTAATGAGTAAAAGCACATTTTGGTGATGGTGTTGACTACAAAATACTGCTTTGTTGTTTCAAAGTAATTCTACAGAGTAAGTTTATCAAAGCAGCAAATAAAACTGTGGGCAGCACCTACTGCACCTTTCATAAGAAATAGGATGATGTTTTTACGGTGGAGCGGCATCTTGCACAAACCACCAGTTTTTCTTCCACTTTTTCAGTCTTTTCCCCCCTCCTCTTTGTATTTCTTGACTTTTTTTTCTTATTACTCAAGCTCAATTCTTGTTTGTTTTTTTTTTCTTTCAGGTACAGTAATAGTCAACACACTAGTGCTGGTTTCAGGCTAATAGTCTTAGCCTGAAGCTATTGTGAGAAAAACAGAAGGAATCTATAATGGCAACATTGTATTACGTATCATAGTAAAATTATAGCATGTAGTAAAATATGTACTACTTAATGTAGTAAAATATTTAAGGCATAGATATACAACAAATCCATCTGGCAGTTTTTCTTTCCCCCATTCTCTCTGTGTATCACACCACAATGTGCCATGTAGGCTCTGGCACACATTCAGGTGAGACTGGACAGAAAATAAACTTTTCCAAAAAGGTTCTAAGAAAAGGCTTGAAAGGCAGAATTGTATTTTTCACGCAGATGAACAGTATAATGTTTTGTTATTATTTGTATATTGCTGGAATTTGGTACCAGAGATACTAAACATTCCATTGTAACGACACAGTAGGACAAAAAATGGCTTTTACTGGTGTCCTTTTATCATTAAGCAGCAAACACTTAGTTCCAAAGAACCGGATTGTACCCCACAATTCAAAATACAACCTTTTGGGTTAAAACTGTCAGTACCAACAGTCCTAGGTGACCCACCTCAGCCTGGCTTTACTTGCTTCTGAATCAGGTAAAAATCCTTCTTGTGTTCAAGAAAAGCCTTTTTAAACAGGCTTTAAACAACTGTATCTTGAGAGGTATCTGAGGATCTGAACCTGAGAATAACAGGCGAATTATTAGATCAAGCACAGCTGAAATAAGCACGATTTATTATTCACCTATCTGTCTCTGAAAAGCAATTAACTAAATCCACCAGTGAATTCATTAGCAATAGCAGCAATTACTGCCAGCAGAAAAGCCCTGTGCCCTGTAAAGCATAGGCATAACTGGAAGGCAGAGTGGACAGCAAGAAGTATTTTGGTAGTGCCACATTTCGGTGTGCTTTTCCCATTGGGTGTCACTGCAGGGTAGGGCTGAGATACAAGAATGAGGAGTTCCCTATGAAAAAACACACTGGAGATACACATACATATAGAATCTGAATGGAGTTTTGGGTATGGGTGTATTTTGATGTTTGTTGGGTTTTTTTGGTTTTTTTTACACGCTCTCGCACTTGACACTTGATAAAAAGACAAGAATTTCCTCTTCAGAAAAGGTACTAATGATAATGCTGATGTAAGTCCAAATCAGGACTTTCTTGTATGGATGTGACAATCTGTTCTGGCTAAAAGGCTTTCTTTTTGTTAGTTACTGTGTTCTGTTCTGCAAGCTGACAAGTTAGATAGTTTTATAACCATTTATAACTATATAACCATAACTGTTTTTTAATGGGGTGGAAAAATAACAATTAGTTTCAGTTTTTGTCATTATTCAGTTTTTCCTCATCTGTTGCACTTGTTGATGACCCAAGTCCATATAAAACACAACTCATGAGCCAAGAGGTGGCTCTTCTTTGGAGCCTGCTGCTTCAGGCTGTGTCACCAGAAACCACGTGGCTGTGGATTTCTGAAAGCTCTTCCGAGTGGGTACATCTGTTTGATGCTCAGCTGCGTTTGGCTCCGCTGGCCTTGAGGTTTAGCTCTCTTGACCTTCTTTTGCTTGGCAGAGATACTTTCTTATAGTAAAGGTACTAATGGTGCCTTTGGCACTTGGTAAGGGAGGACAGACAGACCAGACCTACTTCCTATTCAAGGAGTAAAAAACCCAAAGGCTGGTGTTGAACATTCTCATTCCGGTCAGGTATTCACATTCTTGTCCTGTGTATTCTTAATTTGGGAGCCGTCTGTGCCTGCTTGCCTAGTTCAGAGTACTCATTTTAAAGTAAATGTTCTGTTGGCTGCATCTGTCCTCAAGGGATATAAAAACTTGACAGATCTCAGGTCCAACTACTATTTTAGGAGAATTACTGGCTTTGTTACTCAACACTGTAGGCTGGTTCATACAGTGACTTTTAACTCCTGAATGTTTGCCTGCATAAATGTGCAGGGGAAAGGGATAAAACCAGACTCGCCAGCGATGAGCAATGGGATGGCACACCAAAGTCTGAGGGACTGTGTGCCACTGAGATCCTCAGTCGGCTACACAAGGTGCTGGGTACAAGGAACTGCACCTGAAATGTTTCTATGCCAATGCACACAGCACAAGTGACAAGCAAGAGGAGCTTAGAAGCCTTGGCTTAGTCCCAGAGATGCAAGAGCATTGGCATAGACAAAACCTGGGGGGATGAATCCTGTGACTGATGCACCGTGATGGAGGGTTACAAGCTCTTTAGGAGAGAGATAGGCAGGGCAGACAAGGCAGAGGAAGGGCTTCCAGATGGTGATGGCACAGCTGTGAGCCTTCGGGTGAGGATTAAGGGACAAACAAATAAAGCAGATGTCATTGTGGGAGTATACTATAGGCCACCCAGAAAGGACGATGACACCAACGAATTAGTCTTTAAGCAACCAAGAAGTACCTGTAGATCAACACAGCTGATACAAACAGGTCCAGAAGATTCCTAAAACACCTGCACTTCTTGGTACAAGTACTGTGGGAACTGTCTAGGAAAGGTGCCTTCCTTGATTTGTTGCTTGTTAACAGACAGGGGCTGGTGGATGAAGTGGTGATTTGGGACCATCCTGGCCACAGTGACCATGAAGCAATCAAGATTAAAATCTCTGTTGACAGGAGGGAAAGTGCCAGTAAACTTCAGCTCTGGATATGTAGTGAGCAGAATTCAGGCTGCTCAGGGAACTAGTTAGTGAGGTCCCCTTTTTTAAGGTGCAACGGTCCATCAGCAATGGTCAGTTTTTTAAGTGCCACCCCTGAAGAGCACAGGAATGGGCAATTCCAAAATTCTGGAAGTCAAGCAGCTGAAGTAGAAGGCTGGTTTGGCTGAGGTGGAATTTTCTTCTGGAGCTAAGGTGAAAAAGGGAAAGTGTATGGCCAGTGGAAGCAAGGCTGGGGGACATGGGAGGACTTCAGAGATGCTGGAGTAGTGGACAGCCAGACTGCCAATCACGTAGTCACTGCTTTGCTGGGAAGCTAAGCAGAGGTGGCCCCAGCTACTACCAGGACAGGAGAGTGCCAGGGAGGACTCTCTTCTTGCTTCTGCCCCTTTCCATTTTGTTTTTTCTTTTCCATTCCTTTCCTCCTTACCCTCCCTGGCCCTGGATTTTGTCATCCTCCTTCCAAAGCGTCCTCGCCCATGAGGTGGAAATTGGCCACATGGACGGAAGTGAGAGTAGGGCCATCTCCGCACCCTCCTTTTGTCCCTCCAGCATCCACGCCTCTGTCGCTGGCCTGTAGACTGGGAGATCAATCATTTCTTGTGTTTCCTTGGCATGGGTGTGTGAGGCCTTTCTGCACAGCCAAGGTGGTGAGGGAGGTGTTCCATCATCCCCTCTGGGGAGCTGGGACAAGTTCACCAGGCCTGGAGCTTGCGTGGTGCTGCAGGAGATCGTCTGCCCAGGGGAGTTAAAGGCCAGAACCAGCCTTCCGTCTGGGCACCTTTTGTGTGGGAGCAATCTCTGGATATGTATTCAATACTGGAGGTTGTATCCTAATTTCAGTGCTGGGCTCCTGAAAGAGGGTGACAGTGCTTTTACATGGGAAGGAAAGCACCTAGCCCCAGTGCGGACCATGCACCGCCCGGGAGAGGTAAAGGCCAGCAATACCTTTCTGTCTTGGAAACTTTTGTGTGGGAGCAACCCTTGGACGTATACAATATTGGAGGTGATATCCAGAAGTCTGCTGTGAGCTCCTGAAAGGGCACGACAGTGCTTTAACATGGGAACGGAGAGCACCCAGCCCCAGCGCACCAGGGGCAGACGACGGGCTGCAACAACGGGGCAACCCTGCCGGGCGGTGGTGGGAAGCGAGGGCAGGAGGAGTCAGGGCGCTGAGGGCGGTGCCGTGGGTGCCGGTGGGGCGGGAGGAGGGATGCCCGTTTCCCGGCGGAGCCGTCAGCTGACGCCGCCGTTTCCTGGCCGTGCCCGCCATGCTGCGGCTGCTGCTCCCGCTGGCCGCCCTGGCCGCGCTCCCCCGGGCGGCGGTGAGTCCCTCCTCGCCTCCCCCTCCTCCAAGCACCCCTGGGGCCGCGGCGGGGGAGCGCGGCTCCGAGGGGCGCGGGGGGCCGGCGCGGCTGAGGGCTGGCAGGGGCCTCCTCCCGCCGCTGGAGGAGGCGCTCCGCCCTTGGTCCGTTTTTTGATTAAACCGGGAGCGATGTGGGGCTCGTGGGCGGCGAGCGGGGCGCCGGTGCCGCGGTTGTGCTGCGCCGAGGGGGAGATCCCGGGGCCGGGGCAAGGAAGGGTCCGTGCCCTTCTCCCGAGCAGGCTGTGTGGAGCTGGGGAAGGGCTGGCGGTGGCGGCCTCGGCGGGGGCAGGGTGTGGGGATGGCCAGGGTCGTGCCCGGCCCGGAATGGAGGTGCCAGCTGTCCTCCGGACAGCACCGGGGCTCCCTGCGCTCCCGGGGGCCGTGCAGCGCAGGGCCTGGCCGAGCAGCCCGCGGTGGTGCGGGGACCGGTGCCGACACCCCATGAGCAGATCCCGTGGGAAAACTCCCTATTCATGTAGTGTGTGAGAGGAGGGAAAGGAGTTTTTCCTGTTCTGCATCGACTCTGTAGTAGGCACTTTGTCCCATACCACCGCCTAAGGACAAATCCTTGGTCTTGGCAGTCTTGTGGCTCATGCCTCGAGTTTGAGGCAGTGTGTCGCTATTACCTTGTCAGATGTTGCGCTTGAATTGTGCACAGGAGGTTAAAGATGTATGAAAAGGAGCACAGCCTCATGTGGGACCTCTGTGGAATGGGTGACAGTAAATGTGTGTGGGGGTTATGGCTGAGCCTTCTTCCAAAATTCTGAAGATTGGTGGGTAAGAGGAATGGAGAACCAATACTCACCAAATTTGGTAGTATTAGCAGACCTGGGGCATTGAATGGGTTAGTTGTTTAAAACAGATTAAATACTGTAAAAGTATATAGTGAGTTTCAAGAATTTCCTACCATGTAAGGTTGTAGAAGCAGACAATGTTCACAGGATTCAGAAAAAAAATGGATTTGCCAAATTTAAATGTATCTCTAGCCAGAAATGACTAGGCAAGGATTTGCTTTCTAACATCCCTAGTGTAGCAGCTTTGTCAGCTGGAGGAGTATGAGGGAGCAGACCACAGACAGTGGCCAGGGTCATGTCATTTCTTTAAACAGCATTTCTTATTGCTGTTGTCCAGACAGAATATTGCCTGGTGTCTAGAGGACCTATGGACTTGGATCAGTAGATCAGTAGAGCATTTTTTATGGTCTTATCCTTCCTACCTTTGTTTGTTTTCTGTAGAGGCCTGTGTGTAAAATAGCAGTTTTTTAATACCAGAGCATGAGGAACTGAAGGCGGCAGACATGGTTTCTCTTACCAGCCCACATTTCCCTGACACAAGCAATAAGGAAAGGGGTCCTTTTAAAACTTGGTCTTGTCTTCAAAGTAGAGCAGGGTCCTGTTAACACAGAGGTGCTAATGTTCTTTTAAACTAACTTGGGAAAGGCATAAGCTACAAATAAGCAACCCGGCAAACTGCGGTTTGGAGACTTATGGGCTCAAGCTCACTACTGAGCCCTCCAAGGCTGCTTTTGTGTCCTAGTTCTGAGATATTTTTGGCTGCAGTGATTGCTTGCTTCTTCTCTAGTTAAGTGTGGACTGAGAGACAGGAAGTGCGTTGAAAATAAACAATATGCCACTGCGTGATTGTTATGCCAGACATGATCTCTATTGTGTGTTATAAAAGACCATTCAAACCTTTTTCATCTACAATTAAAAAGAAACAGTAGGTTTATTTTAAATAGAAATATCCATTAGTAGAAACACTGTGACTCTGAGCAAAATGGAAAGCAAACCAGGGAATTCTAGTGCAATTCAAACATAATTGATGCTTGGTTGTTTTCTGTCTGTGAGCAGACATGTGGTAGACTCTTCTCTCTTCTAAAGAAACAGAGTGTATGATGTGTTTTGATCTCTTTTCAACTAATCCCTGTTAGACCAGGATATGCTGAAATAGGCATTGAGACTTGGAAACTGTACATGTAGTGGAAGTGATCTGGAAGCGAGTAGCAAAACACAATGTGAGTTTCACTGATCCTACTGATTTTCAGGGCTTTGGAGAAGTCTGATTCGCAACTGCAGGCAAGGATATCTGCTGGTACATCATCTGCAGTTTCTGGGACCACAGTTGCATCTGGTAGCTGTTCCAGTGGGGATTTCACTGCTGCTGTAGCATGTGATAGTAGAACCTCTTGCATTCGGTAAGAATGAGGTAGGGTGATGCCTGCTTTTCAGATGGAGCCAACTGCTTGGGAAGAAGAAGAGAAAACACATGTTAAATTAATATCAGAAACAGCTTAGTCCCAGAACATGTATGAAATTTCCAAATACTATAATCATTGTTTCCAGGACTCATTGCATCCCTGTTGTGATCTATTGCCATCTGCTATAAGGATGTCTTAATGAGAAAAGAGCATATGAAAAAAAAAAAAAAGGGTGGGGGAGGAATCATAGAGGGCTGCAGGCAGGGAGCTTGGAAGGGGACTGCCAGAATCCAGTCTTTTCTGTTGTCTGATTTATTCCACATCAGGACATCTCCTCTGTGTCTTTATAAGAGTGATTCTGCATGACCCAGCATCTTGGGTAGTACGTAGAGTAACAATCCTTTATTGCAGTCTGGGAAAAAGGGAATGTATGTAATATTTTAAAACGGCTGATACTGGTTCCTGGTTGCAGGCTTTGTTGACCCAAGGCATCCCTTCATAACCACATTATTGCCTACTGGAGACTTCTGCAGGACAGAGGGGAACGGTCGGGAAGCAAAGATGATCTCCTTCAAGCAACTGCCCCTTGAAGCAAAGGCTGCAGTAGCTGCAGGAGTGGTTTTCTTCTCTATGATGCTGTCGCGAAGTTATCTGGCAGAAAAACTCGATCTCAGGATGCGGCACTGGGTTCTAAGGCTACAGATGGCACTATTTGCCAATACACTCATGCTGATGGGATCTCTTCATGTTTGGAGAAGCACAGTCACCATGTTCACCAGGTCTTCAGCTGCCAGCTCCCTCTGTTTCATGCTGTGGAAAATAGCTGTGTTCATGTTCCTAGCTTTGGCTCATTCAAGCTTCTTTACGTTGCTATTTCTTGTTGCAGAAGAGCCCTATTTCTTTTCTTTAGCTGCCTACACTTGCCTGGGGGCCTATATCATTCTCATCTTCTTCCTCTTCACTCTAGGCTCTGTAGAGCAGGCTTACAAGTTCTTAGTGGGGAGAGGCGCTAAGGCAGGCACTGGCAACAAGAACAGAGCAGCAATGAAACCAGTTTTGGCAGTCATGCTGACTCTTGTGCTGACTGTTGTCGGGCTGTTAAATGCTTCCCAGCCTCCTACTGTGAATTCAGTGGAGATTCCAGTTCACAAGCTGCCCTCAACAATGACTAACCTGAAAGTGGTGTTGCTTTCAGATATCCATCTGGGGCCTACTGTTGGGAAGACCAAGCTTGCCATGATAGTGAGAATGGTTAAGGCTTTAAAACCGGATATCACGGTGATCGTTGGGGACCTGACTGACGCTGAGGCAGAGATCATACGACCTGCTGTTGAGCCTCTTGGAGAACTTGATTCCCCTTTGGGGACCTACTTTGTCACGGGAAACCATGAGTACTACACATCAGATGTTAGCAACTGGTTCAAGCTGTTAAAATCATTTAACATTCAGCCACTGCATAACGAGAACGTGAAGATTGTTTCACCAAAGAGCGCTGATGACTGGTTCTGCCTGGCTGGCGTGGATGATATTGAAGCAGATGTATTACGCTACTCAGGACATGGCATGGATTTGAAAAAAGCTCTCAGAGGTTGTAGCAGTGAGCATCCAATAGTGCTATTAGCTCATCAGCCAACTGCTGCAAAGTGGGCCCTTCAGGAGAGGCCAGACATAAATTTAATTCTCTCTGGCCATACTCACGGAGGGCAGATTTTCCCCCTAAATGCTGGAGCTTATCTTCTGAATCCATTCTTTGTTGGTTTGTACAAAGTTGGGCAGAACACCTTTGTCTATGTCAGCCCCGGGACGATGTACTTTGGAATACCCATGAGGTTGGGCAGCAGAGCTGAAATAACGGAGATAATCCTACGTTCTGCTTGAGTTTCCCATTTGACAGACTTCTACCATTCTTTTTTTGGTCAGTATATTGGCTCTTCTGCTGTGAAAGCAAATCCTTTTTCAGGGAAACCAGAGAAGATGCGTTGGGCTGAACTTCAGCAGGTTCTGTTAAGTTTGAGCAGAAAACACTAACTGTATCTTGGACCTATGAAAGAAATTTGGGGCATGTTAAAATACTGAAGAAGTTAATTCTTTGAGTTCGTTATCACCGAAATTCTGCACTGAAAGCTAATGCCAATGTCACAGAGATAATGTGTGTCCTGTGCATGTTTAGTAATATCCGTTTCCTGCGTCTACTTCACGTTCCAACGTTTGCTATCCATCAGGCAGCTGCCTTATCAAATCTTAGGCAGGCAAAGTTCTGATCTCATCCAGTGAAATCACTCGTGCATGTTTTGCAGAAGGGACTACTGAGTGCCCACTGAGTATGCAAAATCTAGAAGTCTTATGCTAGAAATGTTATGGGAAGGGAATAGTTGAGGTTTTTTTTTTTTATTTAAGGCTGGATATCCTTATCCTTCTAGCTGTCTGCAACATGCACTTGGGTTTCCAGTCTGTGCTTACTAGTACAGTAAGTTGCCAGGCATCAGTTCCTGAAATCCAATTTTTTCCAGTTTAAAAGCTGATGAGACTGACATCAGAGGATGAAAGTAGCAGTCATTCTCAGGCATTTCCCCAGAATAGCTGGGCATCTAGTAATTACTGAAAATAGCTCTAATAAAAGCAAATGAGAAAGAAATTTCAAAATTAATTTCTGTTGCTATCTGAGCATGCAGTACCTCCTGATGTAAAGCACAAAATCCGAAGCTGAAATACTAAGTGTCTTTTCATTCTATGTTTTTTTTTTCTTTCTGCCTAATTTCTACTCTGTCATTTTTTCTCTTGCAAGAGTAAGGAGATGCTATTTGAAAACAATGCAAATAGGTTAATGTTTGAACTTTGTTTAAAGGCTTTATTATTTCAAGTAAACTGTGTCCTTTTTTAACGGAGACTAAACTCTGCAGCGGGTGACTTTCCTTGAGAGCGTTTGCATTTCATTGTCCTGTTTGTCTGTAGCCACAGGACTTCTCTTGCACTGCCTTTCTGCCCACCATCACCTGGGTTCCTCTCAGGCAGACCCATATAGCATGGGGCAGAAGAGAATAGCTTTAATGTGGGAGACTGAGGATGGCAAGACCAGAACTGAGGTGTTCAGTCTTTTCCTGTGTTCCTGTGAGAACCTGAAGTGCACAACCATACACACTTCTGTTTTGTTCTTCAGCTTCCATTCTCGTTTTGAAGGAGGTGTGTTTGAAAAGTACCATAAGCTTTGTAAAGTTGAGTTTTTCTCTAAGTTAATTAATTTTGAAGTTCACTTCATCCTCTCCCTTCAGCTCTCCCCCAGGCAGGGTTTCTAACTGCTAGACTGGTTTTGTATCCTATTCCTATGTACAAGCATCTTGCATTTTTACTCAGGAATATAAAGAAATACTGTAAATGTGTCATGAAGGTCAGTGGAATTGTTGGAGAAGTCAGTGCTCTTTTAGTCTGAAAACTGAACACCTGACCAGCCAGGCTCTCTACTTGCCAAACTAGATAATTTCTGTTTCCTGACACCTGTAATTTTGTAAACTGTTTTTTTATGCTTGTGAGATGATACCTGCTTAAGTATCCCGAAGTTTCCATGTGTATTTAACACTGCCCACTGTCTGTGTGTGGGCAGTGAGTGCCACTACTTTGCAGTTGGTGGCAGAGTGTCAAATGGTCTTGGACAGTGAAAATTTTGATAACCTGTAACCCTCTGTTTACTTACCAACATGCCTTCAGTTAAAAGCTTTTCACTTGTTGCACTGTTTTACCATGTAAAGAAGACTAATTGTTAAGCACGTTTCCTTAACAGGAGGCATTTGTCAGACTGATTTTAAATGGTGTCAGTTTCTCAGTGAGTTGCTAGTATTATTTTTTCTTTTTTTTTTTTTCCTTACCCTTTTTATTCCTCTCTTTATTCTGTCCAAATGTGTGCAAAAACCTAGCTGAAGGGGTCCTTCCATCCCAGGATTTCTTTATTACTTTGTATGTGCCTCTCTTGGAAGATCATTTTATGTCCTTTCAAAAGCCTAAATGCATCCTTTTAGGAGTGGTCATATCGTCATTGCATGAATTTATTTTCTCCCATTGTAATTCAGTTCTTGTTCAGTTTGTTTTCTGTAAGTCTCTCCCTCTGAAAGTTTGTTTGCTTGATGATTACTTATTACTTAAAATGTTTTCTTTCTGTGCCAAAACATTTCAAATCCTTTTCTTATTTTGCTTTTCAAATATGAATGGAAAGTGTCCTAGATCAACTTTCTTTTGATGAAAGGAATTAGCTGTTTCTGAAATCTAATAGAGCAATATCTAACTGTCCTTCAATGTTCTTCCTATACGTTTTCCAATTTGACTTGAATGTCCACAATGTAGACCCTTGTTCAGTATTCCAAATGAAGAAAAATTGCTGTGCTGCTTATTTTGTAATTTTTTTTGATTTTTTTTTTTAATTTTGTGTGTGTGTGTAATGTATTTGATCTGGAGAACTTAACTAAATGAATATGTATTTCTTTCTATAAAAGGCCAGTTTGCTGAGGGGCAGGAGGGAAGTTAATTACTGTCAGAATTAATAGCAGAATAGTATCATCACTTTGTGAAAGTTATATTTATTATATTATATAATTACTATGGAATAGATTAAAAATATGTAAGATGTGATTATAACAAATGCTTTCAATGTTGGGATTTAATAAAATTTTATTCTTATATCAAGAAATATGCCTGTAATGACCTCTTATTTTGTACCAGTATATATATTTAGCAGTTCATGCTGCACAGTTTTAAGACACTAATTCTGTTTACTAACAAAAAGCTACTGACAATAAACCTAACTAGTTTTGGAAAAATCTTGCACCCACACTGCTAAGCAAGCCATGGTGAAAAGTGGGAAAAGCAAGGCCACTATTAAATTTTCCTGAAGCATATTAGGAGAAAAAGGTGCAGGCTGAAGAGATGAGCATGTGATGCAGAGAAAATGACCCCTGCAACGAAAGGTTACTAAGAGAATTTTTTGAAAGGAGTAGAAGTGGTTTGTGGTTCTCAGTTTTACTTAAGCTTTGGGGTAGGGGAAGTGCTGTTTTGTGTTGAATGGTCTAGATAAGAGAGGCTAGAAATCTTCACAGGTGGAGAGGTTTGTTGAGGATTTGTATCCACATCTGCTTGCTTTCCAAATAAGAAAAGACCCCTGCTTTGTAAATTTGGAGAATAAGAGATTCTAGCCACTGTTAAATAGATTGGTGTGTTGAAGATGAGTATTTTTTTTGTATATCAGGAGACATACACATTATAAAATGTCAAAATAGCATTAAGATTGCAAAATAAATCCTTCGTTTAAGAAAGGACAAATTCTTTAGTTCTTCCCTTTTTCATGTGAGTATGCTCTGAGCAAGTAAGATGCAAAATTGCCTCTAAGGATTTGAATTTTCAGCTGGCACTGATGTGATTTGATATGAATGAGCTAGCATCCCAAACAGTGCTATTAGGGTGTGTCTGTTGAATCGGCTCACCAGATGAGCAGACCCACTAGCTCATCTAGAGAGGTAGAGTGGGAATGAATTCCCTGCATATTCACAACCACGAGTATGCAATATTGACAGAGCTAGACATAAATTCATGAGGAGAGCTCTCTTGTTTTCATTGCAAGCCCTGGGTCATGAACTGACAATAAAATAATGTTGAGTAATTGATCATGAGTGGAAGTTTGTTTACAATGGGTGATGAATGATGTGAATAGGAAGTACTCTGAAATCTTCCTCCCTCTCTTCATCCATGTAATAACACGGTGTCAGGAAGCATATGTGTTGGGAAGGTGACTTCCAGCTTTAGGAGCATGACTTCTAAGTGGTAACTGGTTCAATGATGACCACTTTCATAATTAATACCTTCTTTTAATTTTTTTATTGCTTTAAGGCAGCCTTGGTTCTCTGCCAGAGGTGTCTGTCCCTCAGGCTGTGGAAACAGTTGTCTCAATATTCATCATCTCAACAGTTACCTGCCACAAATGTTTTTTCCATAGGCCTCTTGACGTGGTCTAAAGCCTAAATGAGGGAACTAAAATTCTCTAACAGAGGGAAACCACAACAATTTACTTTGACTCTCCTTATTTCCAGGGATAATGGCCTTTTAACGTATAATGTGCTTTTATCCTTCATGATGCCTTTTTTTTTTTCCTCTTACAGCATTGCAGAACTGTGTTGCTGCACTTGGGTTCTGAGTTTCATTTAGTCATGATAATTTGGAACACTCAGCTCTGCATTAGTACTGTGATTTGTCACAGGGCCCTACAGTAAAAACATTTGAAGAATGTGAAAAATCTGCTTGGTGTTTGTAAGGGAGAATTGTTTTGTTCTGGGGTGCACACAGTACAATTCACCCTAGTGCAGCATGCTCAGGAATCAAGATGCAGGTTTTAACTGAAAGATCTGCAACTAGTCACATATATTTGAACTGAACAGAAAGTAGGCAGATGGTACATATCTTAGCATCCTTTGCAGTGATAGTTTACTTGAGGCCTAACAGCCTGAAGTTACTACAGAACCATAATTTCCTATGGAGAATCCCAGCCTTTGAGTTCCAGTTGTTCCAGAGCAGTTGGTTTATATTTCTGAACTCTGTAAGGTCCTGATTTTGCAGAGGCCTGGCATGCCCATACCTTTTTTGAGTCAAGGTTTATTTCAACTTTCATGGAACTTTTTGTTAAGTAATCTTAGGAATGGGTCTGTGTTTACAGAATGGGAGTGTGAAAAGCTTCTGCTGTGCTGAAGCTGGCACATTTCTAGTGTCCTTGCATTTCTAGTGTCCCTGCCAGCTCATTGTTGTATCTTCTCATATCTGTTATATATCGACCACACAATTTCACTTGTTCACTGCTGGCAGAATGTTTTGAATCACTTTGTGCATTTAGGACATTTTCCACAACTTTTTTTAGGTTTTCTGTAAAGAGATGCCACTGTTACAGCTGCAACACACTGTAGTCTTCCTCACTGAAATTTGTAGTCTTGAAATGAGCAACACTCTGTTGCTCCATTTAGTGACAGTCTAGGGATAAGCATACTTGCTGAGTAATTTCATCCTCCCTTTTTCAGGAGGGTGTGTTTTTATTTTGAACTATATCTGCTAGTTTGTAGTCTTTTTCTTTTGTCCTATGGCACTCTACACTGGCCCCTTTTTGCTTTTTTGTTGTGCTAAGGCTCAGGTGGGCTGTAGGTAGCTAGTGTAGAGTCATTCACCATGTGTTATTTTAGGACCATTGTATCTTCTACTGTGGACAACCCACAGGTGTTGTACGGACTGTTCTCTGTGTCTTTCAAGGCAGAAAAAAATTACATCGTGTGTTTGTTTCTTTGTTTGTTTGTTTTGCATACAGAACGTACCCCCAAGGAGTTTTGGGATTGATTATGATTCCGACTGCTTTGTCAAAGATGGGAAACCTTTCCGTTACATCTCTGGCAGCATTCACTACTCACGGGTGCCCCGGTATTACTGGAAGGACCGCTTATTGAAGATGAAGATGGCGGGGCTTGATGCCATTCAAACGTGAGTAGCTACTGACTTTCCAAGAGATTTGTAGTTCTGGGAGGTGTATTAGGAGTAGTTAAGTGGAATGCTGCCATTTTTACTTGGTTTATTATTTTGTAAGTAATAGGAGAGAAAGCTCTGGAGAAGTGAAGGGTGGTACAGGATGACCCCTATGAGTGTAAATTGGGGCAATTGGGCAGGTTATAACTAACAGGCAACACCTTTTGCTTCACAACCCAGGGTGCAAATGTGACCTGAAATAAATGGTTGGACTGTGAACATTGGCAGCTACGAAACAGTTGCATGTGCTCTGCCTTTGCCAAGGACCTTGTATTCTGTGGTCAAAAGGCAGATAGGTGAGAGGAGACAATAAGCTATTTAAAGCTCTTTCACCAGGAGCATAGAAAAATGGTTGGGAACTAGGTGTTCTTGATTAAAAAAAATAAAAAGCTTGAAAGGTTTCATTTTTGTGTGAATACCAAACCCTTAGTCCATCCTTCTTGTCTTTCCTACGTCGTATACTCATTGCAACAGGTAAAGCACTGTAAAGAAAAGGAAGCTTACTCTAATTTTTGCCAAAGCTTTCTTGACAAGGGGAGTGGTGGAAAAGTGTAAGGCACAGTCTTTTCAATCAGTGGTTGTAATTCCCAAACAGATTTGTTTTTCTTTCTTAAATCAATGCAAGGCTTAGAGCTTCTCTTTAAAACTGCCTGCTTTTGTGCTGTGGGCTCCCAGACAGTGTTGTTTCTGGCAGTGCAGAGCTTGTAGGCCAGGGCATTGTGCTCTGAGTGTTGCACCACTTCTCCTTCCCCACCCTTGAAGTCTGTATTTTTGTTAGACCTGCAAGTTGCAAGGCTGCCTTGTAGCTGGAGGATGTGATTAGTCAGTGTTATTATGTGAAGAATATACAGCAGGGAAAGAAAAGACGTTGTGTTTTTCCAAACTTAGGGTTCTCTTTTTTTTTTTTTGGTGTATTTTAAAACTCTTCTCTTTGTTGGGATGATGCAGTGACTGGTGAGTGGGTTTTTGGGGTGTTTTTTGTTGTTTTCCATTAAAGCAAGCAAGCAAGCTCCATCTTCGCTCACATTATGTAAGAGAGTGGTATTAAGTAACACACTTGCTCAGTAACACAGGGTTTCTGGAATTGCCTGTGTAATTATTTTTTGCTGCAATGAAAGTAATCTAAAGTGGACCTGAAAATTAATACATTTTGTTGTTTGGTTTGAACATCAGCCTGGGTCCAGACAGTGGCTCTGTGACTCCTGCGATCTATAGTGTCTCATACTTCCCTTATGTCTCTGATTAATGTTCCTCCTCCTCCCAAAACCCATTTCCAGATTTTAAAAACAGTCCCTTCCTTTTTTTTTTTTTTTTTTATTTGAAATTGCCTGTTCATGTCTCTACTGCATCACAGGCCTTTTGAGATAGGAATATTTTCTTTCCCCTTCACCTTATCACTGTTGTTTAACGGCAAAATTGCTGCAGGGCTATTTCGGTTTTTTTCCTGTTGCTTTCCCCCTACTTTATAATCTCCCACTAACAACATGATTTTTTTCTTATTTCTTTTCCTTTTTTTTTCCCTTGTTGAAATCTCTGCTTTATTATTTGAGATAAAGCGATAAATGTTTATTACCTTGAACAAATCTGCTGTGGTTTTGTTAAAAAATGGAAATCAATGTATGTGATTATTTAACTGTGTTTTTGCTTTCTCTTCTTCTACATACTCTTTCCTGGATCAGTAATGCTATTAGCAAGGGACTGTGAAGTCACTCTGGAATGACTGCAGAGCAGCACTGCCAGACATTCTGGTAGAATGTGGTAGTTGGACTCCCAGTCTTGAGGCCACCTCTGAAGATGGTGATTTTGCAGCTTGGGGTTTCTCCCATGAGATAGGAAACAGTCTTGCTATAATTTGAAATGTGGGAGCCTTCCTTGTTCTTATCAAGGTGTTCCCAGTAAGGCTTACCACTTCAAGGGAAACAGAATCCTTTTATTATAGTATTGTTCTTGTAAATACCTTGTAGTCAAAGCCAGCCAGACCTGTTCTCCTTCCTGTTCTCTGCAGCCTCTTTTCCAAAAGAGTCACTATGCCTTATGCATCATTCAGCTCCTGGCTGAGTCAGCAGCTCATCCCAGACTCTGGAATAGGTAAAGGCAGTACACGTATATAAGTGCC